AATCGAATTAAAATTGTGACCTCTACAGGGTCCACAACCTTAATATGCCATAATCCCAGGGTTATACGTGACAAGGAGTAGGGTCGCCTGTCCTACCTCGTGGGTTTTCTCCGGGTCCTCCGGTTCCCTCCCACTGCTAAAGACCCCTACGCGCAAGCGAATTATTGAAATAAAATAAAACAATGTTAAGGACGGCTGAGTTTGAATTTCGTGAAAATTGTCCCAAAATTGACAGACAAAATGGCCGCCGTTCGTTCTTAAATAGCGTAAAAATATGGTATATCAAGGTTGTGGACCCTATAGACAGTGGCGGATTAAGCTCCACCTGAGGCGGCAGTTGCTGGAGGGCCTATTTAGTTTTTAAATAGGGCCTATTTAAAATGGCGTGGGCCTAATTAATTTCGGGTCAGGGCCTATGTTGATTCCCATTGGGCCTAAACCCAACCCCCCTAACATTCATTGTCTATGCATTTTTAATCGTATCAGACAAGTCTAAAAAAATTTTTTTTACAAAATCTTTGGGCCTGAGGCTGCAGCCTCACCAGCCTCACTGATAATCCGCTACTGCCTATAGAGGGCACAATTTTTATCCGATTTTGTTGAAACTTGAAATGTAACTTCCTGAATTATGGCCCCTGATTGTACGAAAAATCGTGTTTTTAGCTTGTGGACCCTATAGAGGTCATAATTTTTATCCGATTTAAAAAAAAACGTATTATTATAACACCGTTACACCCTAAGGACGGCTGAGTTCGAATTTCGTGAAAATCGGCCCAAAATTGACAGACAAAATGGCCACCGTTCGTTCTCAAATAGCGTAAAAATATGGTATATCAAGGTTGTGGACCATATAGAGGTCACAATTTTGGTTCGATTTTCACGAAATTTGAACTCAACCTTCCTTATGGTGTAACGGTGACATAATCAAACGTTTTTTTAAATCGGATAATAATTGTGACCTCCAGAGGGACCACAAAGTAAAAGATAGGTTGCCAGGCATTGAAACATACGCCCACAGCAGATAAATCGTCCGGGCAGTCAACAAGAGTTGTCGCATATTTTTACTTTTTTCAGTAATGAAACATTTATAATACACTAAAATCTAATACAGAAAACCATTAGAATTTGTTTGGTTTTTATAAAGTTCTGCCCCATGCTAACGTTTTGTATACAAAACTTTTAATACTGTATCATGGATTTAGCTGTTCCAAGTCATAAAAATTCATTGAAAATCAATATACTTGTTCGTCTCAAGATCTTAAACTCAGTGTATCAATCTGAAGTCAATCAGATATTAACTTTGGCCTCTAGAGCGTCCACAAGATTTTTCAAAGTGATCAAGGGCCATAACTTTAGCAGTAATTATCGAAAATCACTGAAATTGAATAGACTTCTTCGTCTCATGACCTTAAACACTGTGTATAAATTTAAAGTCAATCGGATATTAACTTTGGCCTCTAGAGCGTCCACAAGATTTTTCAAAGTGATCAAGGGCCATAACTCTGGCAGTAATTATTGTAAATTGCTGAAAATCAATAGGATTCTTCGTCTCATGACCTTAAGCACTGTTTATAAATTTAAAGTCAATAGGATATTAACTTTGGCCTCTAGAGAGTCCACAAGATTTTTTGAAGTTATCAAGAGCCATAACTCTGGGAGTAATTATCAGAAATCGCTGAAAATCAATAGGCTTCTTCGTCTCATGATCTTAAACAATGTGTATAAATTTAAAGTCAATCGGATATAAACTTTCTCCTCTAGAGCATCCACAAGATTTTTTGAAGTGATCAAGGGCCACAACTCTAGCAGTAATTATCGGAAATCGCAGAAAATCAATAGGCTTCTTCGTCTCATGACCTTAAACACTGTGTATAAATTTAAAGTCAATCGGATATTAACTTTGGCCTCTAGAGCGTCCACAAGATTTTTTGAAGTGATCAAGGGCCATAACTCTGGCAGTAATTATCGGAAATCGCTGAAAATCAATAGGCTTCTTCGTCTCATGACCTTAAACACTGTGTATAAATTTAAAGTCAATCGGATATTAACTTTAGTCCCTAGAGCGTCCACAAGCAATTGTGGACGACGGACGGACGGACGGGGGCGACGACAATATACGACCACATTTCATTGTGGGCGTATAAAAAGGCGATTTTTTTGACAATCGGGGTCCATAATTCAGGAAGTTACGTTCCGATGGGCGCAAATCTCGAAGGGAACCAAGATCTTTGGGTTATAAACATGCATGTCAAGTTTCATCAAAATCGGTTCAAAATTGTGACCTCTATAGGGTCCACAAGCTAAAAACATGATTTTTCGTACAATCAGGGGCCATAATCCATGAAGTTTCGATCCGATACATATCACTATCGAAAGCAGCTGAGATCTGTTAAGGATAAACCTATATTTCAAGTTTCGTCAAAATCCGATAAGAATTGTGACCTATAGAGAGTCCACAAACAATTGTGGACGGACGTCCAGACATACGGACGTCCGGATTGACAGGGGCGACGACAATATACGTCTGCGCAGAAGTTTCAAAAATACTTTATCAAGTAACCACCACATCGTTTCCCAATAAAAAATTGAACCCCAGATCGATATCTGTTTTCGATCATGGAGAAATAGGCTCCCGCGGTAAATAATAATAATAATAACTATTATTGAGAGTTTTTATACTAGACTATCACGAAATTATTCATTAATTACAAGTATATAAATATATTGTAGGGAGGGCGGGGGGATGGTCCAATGGTTAGCGCGTGCGCATTGTATCATAAGGACTGTCATTGAGTCAACTGGCGTGGTTTCGATTCCCCAGTTGTACGTGACAAGGAGTAGGGTCGCCTGCGCAACTATTACTTAGGAAAAGGTTCAGGGATTCCGAAATTGTCTTTTGTTTGAAAACAGATGGAAAATTGACAAAACTACAGCCGATTTTTAATTTGGGGCACCGTACGAAATTCAGCCACTTCCAGGCTGCACAGAAGTTTCAAAAATAGTTGATCACCAAACCACCGACCAGTTTCCCAATAAAAAATTAGGTCCGAGATCGGTATCTGTTACAGGTACTGAGAAATAGGCTCATACGGTAAATAATAATAATAATAATAACTAGACCTGCAAGCAGCACTGAACCGGCTTTCAGGAATAAGACAGGAAGAGTGTCATACAATAGCCCATACATGTTCCGAAGTCTTGACCAATTAAATTGCTTATCGCTCCCTTAGCCTAAGCAGAAAATTCTTATCATCGATCTTAGTCAAGGTAATGATATAATGAATCTATACTCAGAGTTTCATCGCTCTCACTTAATTAAAACCAAAGTTACCATGCCCCAAAGCATCAACCAATCAGATTGCTTATCTCTGCTTACTGTAAGCAGACAATGTTTATCATCAAACTCCATCAAAGCATTCCCCTTATAGTCTACCAAAGGCTTGACAATCAAATTGCTTATCGCTCTGCTTAACCTGAGCATAAAATGCTCGTTATCGTACTTAGTCAAGGTAATAAAACTATACATCAAATTTCATCACTCTCACTAAATTAGGACTAAAGTTAGCATGTCCCAAAGCATCAACCAATCAAATTGCTTATCTCTGCTTACCCTAAGCAGAAAATGTTCATCTTCGAACTCCATCAAGGCATTGACCTAATAAACACCTACAACAAATTTGAACGTTTTAGCTCAATTAGAAGTAGAGTTATTGTGACTCAAAAAGGTTGACAGATAGACAGACGGACGAACAAATTTTAATAGTCTCCTGCTTTCTTCGAAAGGCGAGGGACAATTAGGCCTGCAAGCAGCCTGAATCAGAGAGGAAGATTGTCATACAATAGCCCATTCATCGAGCTACCATACAATATTTTCGTTGTTTTGATCTGGTGACACCCGACGTAGAAATCGCGATTTTCGCAAGAGTACCTATTTTTTTACCTTTTTTATTTCCAAATTATCAAATACTTTTTCGACTATTTTTGGGCCCTGTTTCTTGAAATCTTAACTAAAGATAAAATCCAAATTTTAATAGATACTTCTATTCTGATTGGCTAAGCACTAAAATCGATCTAATATTATCCAATCAAATTACTAAAATTTAGATTTTATCTTAGTTAAAATTTCGTGAAACAGGCCCCTTGTTTACAGATCATTGTCGAGATAGAATTAACAAGTGGTATGGGAACTTAATTTCCTGTACCAGAAGTTTCAGAAACATCCTTTGAGCAGTTTAAACAAAAAAAGAAGAAAATTAGAAGAGTATTTCCAGTAATTTAACGATTTTTCTACTTTTTTCAATGATTAAGGCCTTTTTTGGACCCTTTATATCATATTGAGGCTTTTAAATTTGGATTCACACCCTTGACCACTGATAGGAGTCTGAGTAACAGAAGTTTAAGAAAAGAAATAAAAGTAGTTTTCGAGATAAAAGCTTGTAAATAGGCTCCAAAAAGGAAAATACTAGAATTTCAGCGTCCCATAATCTATTGCCTAACCATCGAATTTGTATCAATTGGATGTCACAAGATTGTCCATTATTCGGGATATCCACTGACACTTTGGTTGTTTTGATTTGGTGAAATCTGGTGTAGTAAGCACTTTTTTCGCAAGAGCACCATTTTTTTTTCATTTTTTTTTTTAAAATATCGGATATCATATTTCCTATAGGATGAAATTCTATAGTATTCTACAGAATTTGGGGGATCTCAAATATTCTACAGTTTCTGTAGTGCAAATCCTGTAATTTTACAGTTATCTTTTTGTCTTTAATCAAATTTTGCCCCATCAATTGTTATACATGTACATTGAATTTAAAATTTAGCTAACAAGACTGATTAAAGTCAATCCAAGAGAAGACTGTTTGGTCATTGGCTGAATTTTTAATTTTTAAATTCAATGCACATGTATAACGAGTCATTATAAGTTAACAGAGCTTTGAACAACCAGCCCAAGACACTATGACTTGAAATTCAAAATTGGAGATGGTATGTATACTCACCTTAAGAGGCTCTACACGATCCTCATAAATAGGATTTGAATATTTTACTGATCTCCACATTTCGGCTCGAAAAGCAACAGGTTTCAGCAAATGGCGACAATATTTTTCTAATATAACAAGTGCAATAGGTATCTTCTTCAGCTCTTCTTCTGACTAGTAACGAAAAACATAGGTTGTCACGAAATTTGAACTCAACCATCATTAGGGTGTAATGGTGATATATTCAAACGTTTAATTTAAATTGGATAAAAATTGTGACCTAGAGGGACCACAGCAATTTTTTCGAAAAATCAAGGTCCATACATCAGGCACTTACAATCTGATATGCTCAAATATCAACAGAAACCAAGATATTTGGGTTATAGACATGTATTTCAAGTTTCATCAAAATTAGATCAAAATTATGACCTCTAAAGGGTCCACAACCTTGATATACCATATTTCAACACTATTTGCGTAAGAGGGTAGGCCATTTTGTCTGGTAGATTTGGTCCGATTTCTCGAAATTCAAACTCACCTATCATTATGGTATAACCGTGATGTAATTGAATCAGATAACAATTGTGGCCTCTAGAGGGCCCACAAGCTAAAACGCAATTTTTCGTACAATCAGGGGACATCATTCAAGAAGTTACTGTCCAATATGTGCAAATATCAAAAGTGACCGAGATCTTTGGGTAATAATAAACAAATGTTTACGTACAATGAGGGGCCACAATCCACGAAGTTACAGTCAGATACATTCCAATATCGAAAGAAACCAAGATCTTTGGGATACAAACCTATATTTCAAGTTTCGTCAAAATCGGATAACAATTGTGACCTGTGTATGAAAATGTGGGCGTATAAAAATCCTAACATGACATGAACTTTATGTCAACTTGAATAATACTGCTCTCCGGCGAGATAACGATCGGCGAACAACTATATAGACATTACGATCTATGTTCTACAGTGATACCCAGTATTAGAGCCAGTATTTTGTTGACATTCATTGTGGGGTGGGATTAAGGATGGCGCCCTAGATTTGGAACCACCCCCCTCTTCCCCATTCACCGCAAGACGATACCCATGGAGGGGTTGTAATAGTTATTTTACAAAAACAACAAGATCATTTAACATTAGACTGATGGCCACCTTATATAATAATATGGTACACATTTTAAAACCAGTGGCTGCCAGGCAGGATACGCCCACATTTTCGAGAGATGGATAGAGAACAAGCTAAGAAAAAAGTGATTTCTATACGCCCACATTTTCATGTGGACGTATTATGCCGTCCGGACGTCCGTCCACAATTGTTTGTGGACTCTCTACAGGTCACAATTCTTATCCGATTTCGAAGAAACTTGAAATATAGGTTTATCCCCAAAAGATCTCGGCTGCTTTCGATATTGGCATGTATCGGATCGAAACTTCATGGATTATGGCCCCTGTTTGTACGAAAAATCACGTTTTTAGCTTGTGGACCCTATAGAGGTCACAATTTTTATCCGATTTTGATGAGACTTGAAATGTAAGTTTATAACCCAACGATCTCAGTTCCTTTCGATATAACTTCCTGAATTATGGCCCCTGATTGTACGAAAAATCACGTTTTTAGCTTGTGGACCCTATAGAAGTCATAATTTTTATCCGATTTAAAAAAACGTTCTATTATATCACCGTTACACCCTAAGGATGACTGGGTTAGAATTTCGTGAAAATTGGCCCAAAATTGACAGACAAAATGGCCGCCGTTCGTTCCCAAATAGCGTAAGAATATGGTATATCAAGGTTGTGGACCCTATAGGGGTCACAATTTTTATCCGATATTGTTGAAACTTGAAATGTAAGTTTATAACCCAAAGATCTCGGTTGCTTTCGATATTCGTGCATATCGGACCGTAACTTCCTGAATTATGGCCCCTGATTGTACGAAAAATCACGTTTTTAGCTTGTGGACCCTATAGAAGTCATAATTTTTATCCGATTTAAAAAAACGTTCTATTATATCACCGTTACACCCTAAGGATGACTGGGTTCGAATTTCATGAAAATCGGCCCAAAATTGACAGACAAAATGGCCGCCATTCGTTCACAAATAGCGTAAGAATATGGTATATCAAGGTTGTGGACCCTATAGGGGTCACAATTTTTATCCGATTTTGTTGAAACTTGAAATGTAAGTTTATAACCCAAAGATCTTGGTTCGTTTCGATATTCGTGCATATCGGACCGTAACTTTCTGAATAATGACCCCTGATTGTACGAAAAATCACGTTTTTAGCTTGTGGACCCTATAGAAGTCATAATTTTTAACCGATTTAAAAAAACGTATTATTATATCACCGTTACACCCTAAGGAAGGTTGAAATTGAATTTCGTGAAAATCGGCCCAAAATTGACAGACAAAATGGCCGTCGTTCGTTCTCAAATAGCGTAAAAATATGGTATATCAAGGTTGTGGACCCTATAGAGGTCACAATTTTTATTTGATTTTGTTGAAACTTGAAATGTAAGTTTATAACCCAAAGATCTTGGTTCGTTTCGATATTCGTGCATATCGGACCGTAACTTCCTGAATTATGGCCCTTGGTTGTACGAAAAATCGCGTTTTTAGCTTGTGGACCCTATAGAGGTCATAATTTTTATCCGATTTAAAAAAACGTATTATTATATCACCGTTACACCCTAAGGACGACTGAGTTTGAATTTCATGAAAATCGGCCCAAAATTGACAGACAAAATGGCCGCCGTTATTTCTCAAATAGCGTAAAAATATGGTATATCAAGGTTGTGGACCCTATAGAGGTCACAATTTTTATCCGATTTTGTTGAAACTTGAAATATAAGTTTATAACCCAAAGATCTCGTTTCCTTTCTATATTTGCCCATATCGGACCGTAACTTCCTGAATTATGGCCCCTGATTGTATGAAAAATCATGTTTTGAGCTTGTGGACCCTATAGAGGTCATAATTTTTATCCGATTTAAAAAACCGTATTATTATATTACCGTTCCACCCTAAGGACAGTTGAGTATGAATTTTGTGAAAATCGCCCCAAAATTGACAGACAAAATGGCTGCCGTTCGTTCTCAAATAGCGTAAAAATATGGTATATCAAGGTTGTGGACCCTATAGAGGTCACAATTTTTATCCAATTTTGTTGAAACTTGAAATGTAAGTTTATAACACAAAGATCTCAGTTCCTTTCGATATATGCTCATATCGAATTGTAATTTCCTGAATTATGGCCCTTGATTGTAGGAAAAATCACTTTCTTGTTAGCTTGTTCTCTATCCATCTCTCGAAAATGTGGGCGTGTCATGCCTGGCAGCCGCTGGTTCCTACAATCAAGGGCCATAAATCAGGAAATTACAATTCGATATGCGCAAATATCGAAAGGAACCCAGATCTTTGTGTTATAAACTTACATTTCAAGTTTCAACAAAATTGGATAAAAATTGTGACTTCTATAGGGTCCACAACTTTGATGTACCCTATTGTTACGCTATTTGAGAACAAAGGGCGGCCATTTTGTCTGTCAATTTTGGGCCGATTTTCACGAAATTCAATTTCAACCTTCCTTAGGGTGTAACGGTGATATAATAATACGTTTTTTTAAATCGGATAAAAATTATGACCTCTATAGGGTCCACAAGCTAAAAACGCGATTTTTCGTACAATCAGGGGCCATAATTCAGAAAGTTACGGTCCGATATGCGCGAATATCGAAAGGAACTGAGATCTTTGGGTTATAAACTTACATTTCAAGTTTCAAAAAAATAGGATAAAAATTGTGACCTCTATAGGGTCCACAAGCTAAAAACGTGATTTTTCGTACAATCAGGGGCCATAATCCATGAAGTTTTGATCCGATACATGCCAATATCGAAAGCAGCTGAGATCTTTTGGGGATAAACCTATATTTCAAGTTTCGTCAAAATCGGATAAGAATTGTGACCTGTAGAGAGTCCACAAACAATTGTGGATGGACGGACGGGCGGACAGGGGCGACGGCATAATACGTCCACATGAAAATGTGGGCGTATAAAAAAGGTGTAGTGTCAATTTCTTTCAAATTATTAAAGTTAAGAGTATTATGGTTAGTTGTTAAATAGTTGATATCATTAGAGTTACTTGTATTCGATTCAGACTTTCTGGAGAACACTTCAGTAATATCTTTTATGATCCTTTGTTTCCTGGAACAAACTTGTTTGCCATTACTAGTTGGCTTTGTGTTGCTAATCCCTAATTTACGAAGTTAGGACAAGACATCTTGATTAATCTTTTGAGAATCACAATTGAAATCCGTCAGTTGTTGGCAATCATAGTGTGTCACGGATTAGTGATCCCATGTATCTCATCTGATGAGTTAACTATATCTAGATGTACCTCAGTGTTGTAATAAATTGTACTATTTTCCACATTTATGGTCATGAATAAACACAAAATAAAACACATTTTTTTTTTACTAAATTTAGTTAATCCAAGGATTCTCTGAGATCCACAAATTTACAAATATTTTGGAAACATTATAATAGATCTGGAAACTGTTTAAAAGATGGAAATTAACTATTCACTAAGAGCTTGAAACATTGACTGCTACTTGTCTGGCACACATGTTTGGTAAATCTGATGGCACACAAACTTGTTTTCCTGCTATTCCAGTCTGTGAATACAACTTCAAAGTGGTCTAATATAGCCTAACTCGGGTGGCTGACCTGAATTCCACTTAACCATTTGATCATCTACAGTCCAGGCAGGCGTCGCTGTCGGGAGAAAATTTATTGGCTGCAAATGCGTTTCTGCTCTTCCAGCCCATGAATGCAACAGCTTCACCATGGTTCAATTCAATATTGCCTAACTTAGGTGGCTCCTCCCTCTGACGCGTACGCCTATGAAGTTATGGTCTGCTATGTGCCTATATCGAAAGGAACCAAGATCTTTGGTATATAAACATATATTTTAAGTTTCTTCAAAATTGGATAAAAGGTGTGACCTCTTGAGGCTCTTGAGGGTACACAACCTTGGTATTACATACCATTTTGTCCGGCAGCTTCGATCCGATTTTTACGCAATTCAATCATGGTGTAACAGGGTCATTCCATGTCAAGTGGACCAAATTTCGGAAAGTTGGGAACATGACCTCCTCCAAAAAGATACGTTG